CTTCCTTCCTTCCTTCCTTCCTTCCTTCCTTCCTTCCTTCCTTCCTTCCCTCCTTCTGCCTTCCCCCCTTCCCTTCTTCCTCTTTATTCATACAATTACTATTCACCAATTCCTTTTCAATTCTTATCCTTCTTGGACTCTCTCCAACATTTGACATGTAATCACTCTCTATTCCTGGATATTCTTTCCTCTGTGGGTTTTCATGACACTGCTTAATGGAACATTATCCATGTTTCACTTCCTGTAGATATAATCCATGGTTCTGTCCTGGGACATCTCCACACCTCTCTCTCTCTCTCTCTCTCTCTCTCTCCCCTTTTTAATTCTAGAGTTAAATCAAACGTCTTCTGGGTCCATGAGACAAAGCAACAAATAAACAAAAAACAAAAACAAACCCTTTTCTCTCTGTCCTCATCCACTGCCTTATGTTCAACTATTAACTTTACATAAATGACTCCAAGATCTATATATTAAGTCCTGGTCTCTCTCCAGAGCTCTAGTCCTACATCAAAAATGATTGCTTGGATATTGTGAATTCTCAAAATCAAACAGAACTCATTTTTCACTCAAAATGTACATCTATTAAAAACTTCATTATTTCCTTCAAGAACACCACTATCCTTCCAGTCTCACATGTTTGCAACCATGTCATCTACCTGTGCAACTCATCCTTTCTTATCCAATCATTTGCTAAACCTTGTCAATTCTAACTCCACAGAGGATCTGAAATTTGTCCCTGTCTCTCACATGGCCACTACTGTAATTCAGGGGCTCATTACCTTTACCTATTACAACACTATTACAACAGTGTCCTAATTGGACTTTCTGCCTTAAGTTTTCCCCCTCTTCAATCCAGCCACCATGCATCTACCACGTGGTTTTCTGAAAGTATGGTTATGACCATGCCACTCTCCTGCTTAATACACTCCAGTGGTTCCCCATTGACTCTGAGGATCAAATGCAAAGTCTTCTGTATGACACTTAAAGTTCTTCACCGTCTGATTCCAATATATTTTGTTAGGCTTATTATTTATTATTGCCTTCCTATACTCAATGGTTTAGTCAGGTTGGTTTTCTTCCTGCTTTCTCACACACAGCATTCCATCTCCCATTTTAGTACACAGGTTTTCCCCAAGCTCTGGAATATACTCTCTCCTTCTCTCTAGCTCTTAGAATTCCTAGCTTCCTTCAAAGTTCAGTCCAAGTGCCACCTCCTACATTAAACCTTTCCTGATCCACCTCTCTCCCCAGGGGCTAGTGCCATCATCTCAAAATTACCTCATATTTGCTTTTCATGTATTTTGCATACACTTATATGTATACATGTTGTTTCCCCAAATAAAATGTTAGTTCCTTGAGATCATTTCATTTTTATTTTTATATCCTCAGCAGTTAACATAGTTCCTGGTACATAGGAAGTTCTAAATAAGCACTTGTTGATGGTTTGATTGCTTAATCAGTTGTTTCAACCTTCCCTAATGCTAGAAAATAGTGGTAGCATCTAGGGATTATAGATGGAATGAAGGCTACGCTCTGACAGCAGTGCCAATTATGGCAAGCCCTGTGAAAGGAATTGGTACCAGAATATCTCCCATTTGTCCTTGGAGTTCAGATACCCAAGTCAATCAGTCAGTAGGGAGCCACTGGCATTTATTGATCAGGACAGTGGAATATTCACACCCATGCTTTAAGAAAATCACGTGGTAAATGTATTAAGCCTGGATTGAAGAAGAGATAGACATAAGGCAGAAAGCCTAACTAGGACTCTGTTGTCATAGCCTAGGTAAGAGGTAATGAGACTCTGAATCAGAGCAGTGATTGTGTGAGTAAAGGGACAGGGACAGATTTGAGATATGTTATGGAGTTAGAATTGACAAGGCTTAGCAAATGATTGGATATATGGGATGAGAAAGAATCAATTGCACAGAAAGATGCCGTGGTTGCATTTTTGCCAAGGTGAAATGAAGTCCTGTATTTCCTTGGTCAAAAAACAGGTTGTCATTTGAGGAATCCTACATGTTTAAGTCATTCAATATATTATCAATATGAACATATCTTTTGACGGTTATTGTATAGGTAAGGTCATATAATTTGCTTTTCACCTATTGAAAGTAGTGAAGTCTTAGGACAAATATTTTTGATTTTTCTTCTTTTGCTGGTACCAGTTACAAGGAAGTAACCTTTGCCTATGAATCCATCAAGTTTATCAAAGTGACATCCAACATGCCTTTTCTGGGAATCTTTTATGTAACTAGTACATTCTCTTTCTTGTTTTTTCCTGAAATAGACCAAATACTTCAGATTAGTAGGATATAATACCTTGCACCATAATTCTAATGATTTTCATCTCCAGTTAAAACTTACTTAGCATTCTGTGAATAAAGGTAATATTGCACATCATTTGGAGCTGCTTTGCCTACTGTCCAAGTGCAATTCATGAAATAAACTTTGTAAACACAACAGGAGAAGTTTTTTGCAGCTGTATCTTCTCCTGGGTAGATACAGAAAGGACACAAAATGCATTTTGAAGTTAAAATAAGATCTGATATTGATTCTTGATGGGAAACAAAAGCAAGGAATTAAAACTCAAGATTTATTACCAGTGTCATTAAAAATGAGTTCTTTTTTGGATGTGTTCTGATATATAGTCAGAGAATCTATATACATATCCTCATGACTCAAATTACAATTAGAAAAGCCACAGCAAAATTTCTTGATATAGTTCTTGTCCTGAAAACAAAAACAAAAAAGAAAACAGCATATTTATAGTAACCATTAGTAGAATCAAGGAATGGAGCTTTACACTATTCCTAAGTATTATTTTGCCTCGTTTAAGTTATGTCTTGCTGTGAGTAAATCATGTTATGAAACTTGGTTAAAGATATATTTTTCTCAAAGACATGTCAAATTTCTGAGTGGCTGATGATGAAACCAAGGACAGTAAGTTATATATGTCTGAAAAGGTCCTGTTAACTATAGAAGCCCCCTTTTAATAGCTTTACTCTAACATCATGTATCAAAGGGGCAGATGTGTGACACAGTAGATAAAACACTGGCCCTGGAGTCAGGAAGATCTTAGTTCAAACCCAGGCTTGGATATTTACTAGCTGTTGTGTGCCCCTGGGCAATTCACTTAACCCTCATTTGCCTCAGTTCCTCATCTGTAAAATATGACACACTGGAGAAAAAAATGGCAAACCACTCTGATATCTTTGCTAAGAAAACTATGTCTATGGGGTCATGAAGAGATGGGCACAACTGAACAACAACAACAACAACAACAGGTATCACAAGCACCTATTTTCCATTTGATGAGACTGAGGAAAAAGGGAAATAGACATGAAGTCATGCTTACCATCACTGGTGAATTGTGTGTTTTCTTTACATCAGTGGGCGTTGTGGTATTGTTACTGTTGTCCCAGGTTAACTCCATTTTCCTCAGATCTTTTTTCACAGTTGTGACTGATAGGCCTGGTACTTTGGCTGCAAGTTCTTCAAGGAATTGTTCATTGAGGTTTGAAGTCACAAGTTCAACTCTTTTCTCCTTTTCACTCATGATTTTTTTTAACCTTTGCCCTAGGATCTCATTCTCTCCTGCTTCCCCAAAAGTCCTCACTCCCTCTCTAAAATTACTTTCTCCTTCATCCTCTACTTTTCATTCTTTACCCCCAGATTAAAATATACCCCAATTTCACTGATTCTCAAAAATCGGATATAGCACTGCATGAGCTCCTCTTCAACTACAAGTTTGGGAAGCATCTCTCATTCTCTTAGGAGTCCGGTTCCTTACTCCCTTAGCTCTCCTCCAATCTGACTTCTATCCTTTCCACTGTACATATCTTTTAAAGTCTTCAGTGACTTCTACATGGCTAAAATTAAAAGGATTCCTTTGTAATTCCAAATCTGCTTAACTATGCTGAGCCCTTAATGTTATTCACCAAATTGATCTCAAAGTCTTCTCTAACCTTGGCTTCCAGGGGAGGTTCCATACTGTAATTCCCTCTTTTGTTCACATACGTTGACCGTATCCTTCAGATGCTTCTTATTAACTAATTTCTCAGTTTCTGGAGTACAAACTTGTGCCATTGCTTCTGTTAAGATTTAGGTGTGCTTACATCCTTTCCATTCAATACATATACCCAGTTGCTATGCTCAGCTGAGCTCATGAAAAGGCTATATTTAAATGATTTCTCTAGCAGCATTTCAAATATCATGTGGCAAGATAAAAGTTATCTTTCATCTATGCCCTTCCCTCATTACCCAATGTTCCTATTAGAGTTGGCAACACCACCTACTTTACCAATACCCTTAAGCAAAAAAACAAATCGTTGTGGCCCAAATTAACTCTTCTTTGCCCTCTTATTTTTTTTCACGTTAATATTTGCCACCATCTTCTGTAAAATACGCTTCCCTTTCTCTTTCACAGACAACTCCTCCAGACTTTCACAACTGATTCTTTCTTGAACTACAGGCTATATTATGTTCCTACCAAACATTATAAAATCATGAATTTAGAGGCACCTTAGAGGGTAGCTAATCTAACCTTTTCATGTTACAGATGAGGAAACTGAGTCCCAGAAAGTTAATGTGATGTGCCTAAATTTGCACAAGAAGTAAATGAAAGAACCAAGATTTGAATCCAGTTCTACCAACTACAAATACACTATTCTTTTCCTTGTTCTCAATGCTTCCTCTGAAATTGACTTCTCTACTGGTCTCTTCTGTTTAAGTGGTCACACCCTCTGATTAATAGCTTTTCATAGTGGTTTTCAATGGGTCAACAGATCAGCATCTTTCAAAATTTTTATTAGGCTATAATAGACAGTGTTACTTGACTTCTCTCCCATTAGCTGGGCAACTAGGTGGCTCACTGGATAAAGCAGTGGGCTTGGAGTGAGGAAGACCTGAGTTCAAATCTGGGCTCAGATACTGTGTGACTCTGGGCAAGTCACTTACCCGCCGCCTCAATTTCCTCATCTGTAAAGCGGGATAATAATAGCATCTATCTTGAAGGGTTGTTGTTAGGATCAAATGAGATAATTGCAAAGTATACAACAGTACCCTATTAATGGTACAATAGTAGATGCTGTATAAATGTTAGCTATTATTATTATTTGTCTTTAGTTTTTGTTGGTTGCTCTCTAATGAACTCACTGGCCTCTACCATTTCAGTTCTGCTCCTGAGCCTTTGTTCAAGCCAGATCCTATGTCCCAAACAGCTTCCCCATCCTAGCTCACCCAGCTCCTTTCTTTTTGTCTTTAGGGGATTCTTGAAATCCCACCTTTCATAACTAATTTAAAGAGGAGGTTGTGAGGTTTCCCCCTCTTCCTTGACTTATAAATGTGTTGTATTAAAATCACTGGATAAAGGGTAAATACACTTGAGGTTTTATCCTAAGGCTGTCACTGTGTGTTCTTGAAAAAATTTACTTAAATTCTATGTGTTTCCAAATAGATATACTGACATCTGTTCTATTTATCTAGCAGTCTTCCTCCAAGGTCAGAATTAGAGAAGACATTTTAATGAGTACAAACTGTTATGAATATAGAAGATATTCTTTGTCTAACTCCCCAAATTTATTCTCTTTTCTACCATACTAAAAACACTTGAAGTATTCTTTCCACATAATGTAATTGTGATCTATTTACTAAAAGTAGGCATTTGTTCAACAATCACACAATTATTGACTTTATTCGCGGCTGCTTTATGGATCTCTCTTAGGTTAGAAGTTCTAAGAGACAGGCTATGAATTTAACCTACTGCTTACAGTGTCAGGTAGAGAATCCACATAGTGGTTCCCAGTTAAGCACATTTCACTTGTAAGGTTGCTGCGATGCCATAAGTCACATTAGATGTCTTTGCTGAAATATATGTAGCAAATAAGTGAAGCCAGTTGAAGGCAATTTAATAAAATGGAACTGTGCTCAGGTAGGCATGGTGGTATATATTTATAGCCCTTGCTGCTGGGAAGGCTGATGGATTGTTTGAGCTTAGAAGTTCTGAGCTGTCGTGGGCTAAGGTGCTCAGGTGTCCTCACTGAGTCTAGAACCAATATGGTGAGCATCTTAGAGTAGACAGCCACAGGGCTGCCTGAAGGAGAGGAAAACTGACCTAGGTGAGAAAAACTAGAGGTTAAACCTTTTACACAAAAATCATTATTGGAATTAGTTTTATGAGCAGCATCCAATTTATGAGCCTGGGTGAGATAGATACGGAACACAGTATCAAATAAATAAAATTAAATAAAATAAAGAAAACTGCACAGATCTTTGCTAATGTCCCTAGGAACACTCGACTAAAGTCACTTAATTATAATCCTGTGCTCACCCTCTTGTTCCTGTGTCAGGCAGCATGCTGAGGTCAATAATACTAATGTCCAAATAAAGGCCACAAGATCAGCCATGGAGTAGGCCATTAGGAGTAGAACTGGGGAACTGAAAGAGAAGAAATAGTTGTCAGCATACCCTGAGATTATAGAACATCTTCTCCCTTATGTTTCTAGCCATGAGAAGTACAGGGGACATTCCCCAGATAGGCTACTCAGGAGAGCTTTGAATTAGTCCCCACAAATAGTTAAGGATCACATGCCCCCAAACCCAGCATTGGTCTTCATTGTGAGAAATAACTCCATTTATTTTGTGGTGAAGTAGTCTTCTCTTCATGGTCAGCTAGGTGTCACAGTGGATAGAGTGCTGGTGTGAAGTCAGGAAGACTCATCTTTAAAACTTACCAAATCTGGCCTTAGACACTTACTAGCTGTATGACATTGGGCAAGTCACTTAACTCTGTTTACCTTAGTTTCGTCATCTGTAAAATGAGCTAGCAAAAGAAATGGCAAACCACTCCAGGATCTCTGTCAATAAAATCCCCCAAAGGTGTCATGAACAGTTGGACACAACTGAAATGACTGAACAACAGCAGTGTTCTCTTCACTCACTTTCCATAGCTTAAAAATGCCAGTCTCACTGACCAGGTATTATGATGGAAGACAACATTGAATCCTTGGTTGATCCAACTCTGACAGATGGGATAAAGAATCTGAATGTTTTCTCATTTCATACTGATAATTGAGAAGGATTTCCACTTGTATCACAGGCTAGGTTTTCATGACAACAGAATTGGATTCTGATAAAAAAAAATGAGTGTTCATGCTGTTATGTCATGAAGACAGGCCATGGCACATTTCCATGGTAACTGAAGGTCCTCACATAGACCCAGTCAGAATTTAGTTGTGGGGACACCTTACCCAGATAGGATAACCACAGGTTGTTTATGAGTCAGCATCACCAACCCAAAGACCAGGACTAAAGGTAGGTGGCCCAACTCCATTTCTTTTATCTCCATGAATTAAATCTTCCCTGCCTAGCATAGCGCATAGTCATGCCTCCTTTTTCAGAATTCTAAAAACATTTACTGTCTATTCCATTTCTTTCAGCTCTTAATAAATGTAAAGCAGGGGTAACAATTGCCCCCACATTTGTGGGAACTACAAAAGAATTCTTACAAGGAAACTGAGAGATGAGGTACAAGAAGGCTCAGGTAGATATACACTTTGTTTCATCTTCAACCCAGATGAGAGTAAGGTTCCAATATTACCAGCCCCTCACCCACATCTGTTTCCTCTGTATGAGATAATTGTTCTGTTTTTCCTTTTCCTACCCAATTTTGTTTTTAAGAATCACCCCATCATACACAACTCAGCCACAGCATTTCTTTCAAACTACTTTAGTTATGTTAAAAGTTTTAAGAATACTATTGCTAATAATAATAATAATTAATACTTATTACTAACAATAACATTTTCACAAATCATAAGTAAACAGTTTGACTTTAATCATGCATTATAATTAGTCTTTAATGATTTTCTTATATTTCTTCTGGATCTTTTATATCAAATTTTCCATTGAATTCAGGTCTTTTTGTTACAAATACCTAAAAGTCTTTCAGTTCATCAGATGTCCATTTTTTAAAAATTCAGGATTATACTCAACTTTGCTGGGTAAGTTATTCTTGGATGCAACCCCAGTTCCTTTGCTCTTTGAAATATAATGTTCCAAGACCTATTGCCTTTTAGTATAGAAGCTTCTAGGTCTTGTGAAATCCTGATTATTTTTCTGCAGTATTTAAATTTTTTTTGTTGTTGTTACTTGCAATAGTTTCTCTTTAACTTGGGAATTTTGAAACTTGGATATGACATTCCTGCAAGTTTTCTTCCTAGGATCTTTTTCAGGTGAGGATGAGTTGATTCATTCAATTTCTATTTTACCTTTTTCTAGAACTTCTAGAATCCATAAAGATTTTCTAAAATGGGATTGCATGACATGCAATTTTCCTTAATAATTTCTTGTGATATTGTATCCAATTATTTTTTTGATCATAACTTTTAGGTAGGCCAACAATTCTTACAATATTTCTCCTTGATCTACTCTCCAGATCAGTTGTTTTTCTAATGATATGTTTCATATTCTTTTCTATTTTTCTAGTTTTATTATATCTTGGTGTGTTATAACATCATTCAATTCCACTTGCTCAATTCTAGTTTTTAAGAAGTTAACTTCCTTAGGATTTTGTATGTTCCTTTCTAACTAGTTGACTTTCTTTTCATAATTTTCTTGAATTGCTTTTGATTTTTTAAAAAAATGCTCTAAATCTTTTGATTAGAGAAGTGCAAATTAAAGCAACCTCAAGATATCATTTTATACCTACTAGATTGGCTAAAATGATAGAAGGGGAGAATGACAAATGTTGGAGGGTATATGGAAAAACTGAGACATCAATTCATTGCTGGTGGAATTGTGGACTGACTCAACCATTTTGGCGAGCAATCTGGAATTATGCCAAAAGAGTTATTAAATTGCCCATACCCTTTGACCTAACAATACTACTACTAGGTCTATTTTGAAGATAACTAGAGAAAAAGGAAAAGAACCTATATGTTCTAAAATGTTTATAGTAGCTCTCTTTGGGGTGGCAAATAACTGGAAATGGTAGAGATGCCCATCAATTGGGGGAATGGCTGAACAAGTTGTGGTATATGAATGCAATAGAATACTATTGTTCCATAAGAAATGATGAGTAGGCAGATTTCAAAAAAATATGGAAAGTCTTGCATGAACTGATCTGAGTGAAGTGAGCAGAACCAGGAGAACATTGTACACAGTAACAGCAACATTGTGCGATGACCAACTTTGATAGACTTAGCTTTTCTCAGCAATGCAATGATCTAAGACAGTTTCCAAAAGACTCATGATAAAAAATGCTATTCACATCCAGAGAAAGAATTATGGAGTCTGAAAGCAGATCAAAGCATACTCTTTTCTCTCTCTTTTTTTTTCTTTCTTGTGGTTTTTCCCTTTTGTTCTGATTTTTCTTTCACAACATGACTAATGTGGAAATATGTTTAATATGATTTTGCATGTATAGCCTATATCAGATTGAATGCTGTCTTGGAGAGAGGGAAAGAGAGGAGGGACAGGGAAAGGAGGGGTGGAAAATTCATAACTCAAAATCCTGTAAAAGTGAATGTTGAAAACTAAAAATAAATAAATTAATTAAAAAATAAAAATAAAAACCAAACCAAAACAAAAAAAGAATGACCTTGAGTGAAAAAGTTATTTTGGCTATTATAAATACCCAAGTTAACTATAAAGGACACAGGAAGAAAGATGTTATCCGCATCCAGAGAAAGAACTGATAAATAGAAGTATGTATAGAATAATTTACATATGTATATATATGTATGTATATATACATATATGTGTGTGTGTGTATATATGAAATTTATGTCCAATGGTAGCTATCTTGTGGGGGGGAGAAGGAAGAAAAAAAGAAATTTACATAATTTTGTTGTATATTTGAAAGGAATAGTAAGTTGTGCATAGTAGATTTGCAGTTTCATGTGAAATCATCTTTTTTATTGTATTGTGTTATAGAAATGTTTGCTTTATTCAATAAATTAAAAATAAGATTAAAGAAAAAAGAAGGCTGAGGTAGGAGAGATGGAAGAGGAGGTCTGGGAAAAAAAGGAAGGGGAAGAGGGAGAATGAATGCAGAGTTAGGAGGATGCCTTATCCATTTGCTGCTGTTCATAGGAAGCTGCTAGGTAGAACTGCCTTTTTTAGGAACTGAGATGAATGCATTAATGCCTGGGTCATAAAAGCAGTTGTGTTTTGAACTGATAGAATGTAGATCAGTGGAGAAGCAGAGAGAGGATGAGAGTAATGGTGTGAGCAAAGACATAAAGGCAGGAATGTACAATATGTGTTTGGGGGACAAGTAGTAGAACAGCCTGGGTTGAGATGAGGGTTATTGGAAGAGAGTTAATGAGAGGTAGCGATCCAGAAGAGTAATGGGAGATAAGAATTGAGCATTTCCCCATCAGATGATAGTGTCTGCTTATTGCTCCTACTTACTGCCAGGCGGCTTTTGTCCTTTAGAATCATTTGCAGATTTCTAGGTCAGGCTCACTAAGATTAGAATCATTAGGCTGAACAGCATAAAATCAACCGATGCTAGAACATCAAACTCCTTGCCAGTCTCCTGCCTCTGTCTATTCTCCTGCTTGACTCACCTCACCTCTTTCAGATCTTGTGGATATCTTGGGGACTAACTTTTCCTTGAAACTTTAATCAATCATCTTGCTCTATCCTTTCAATTCCAGCAGACCTCCCTGTTACTGACTTTTTTGGATTTTCTTCCTGTTATTTGATTTCTTTCTTTCTTTTCGTCTTTTCTTTCCTTCTTTTTTCTTTTTCTTTCTTTCTTTTCTTTCTTTCTTTCTTTCTTTCCCCCTTCCTTCCTTCCTCTTTCTCTCTTTCTTTCTTCCTTCCCTCCCTCCTTTCCTCCTTCCTTCCCTTCCTTCTTCCCTCTCTCCTTTCCTCCCTCCCTGCCTCCCTTCCTTCCTTCCTCCCTCCCTTTCTCCCTCCCTCCCTTCCTTCTTTCCTTCCTCCCTCCCCCCTTCCTTCCTTCCTTCCTTCCTTCCTTCCTTCCTTCCTTTCTTCCTTCCTTCCTTCCTTCTTTCCTTCCTTCCTTCCTTCCTTCTTTCCTTCTTTTCCTTCCTTTACTGTAATCTCATTGGTACAGGGAATGCCAAGTGATGAAACTTTCCCTACCAGGGCAGATATTCTGAGGCATTTAGAGATTAAGTGACTTGCTCGGGGTCACATAACCAATATTTTGTCAGAGGTGGGACTTAAACCCAGGTCTTCCTGACTCCAAGGCCTAATTGTCTATGAACTACCCCATACTGTTTCTCTGAACTATACCTGGTAACTTGTTATTATTGTAGGTGTTATTTTCACTGTTCTCAAGGTTACCTTTTTATCATCCTGATTTCTGTTTGCTTATTTGAACTAGATCTGGAACTAAGAAAAGGCATAGCAGGCAGCCATCTAGTATGCAGTTTGGTTAAAGGTACAATGGGAGATACTTTTAA